TGCAAGATAGAGCCCTTAAAGTTACTAGGATTATCTTTCAATAGTTCAGATAATTAGATTGACAGTTTACATTTGGACTATAATACTGAAATACATACATACAGGTGTATTTGGAGCTTTATGTAGTTCCTCACTTGACCAATTATCTCCCATTTCACAATGTATTATGCTACTTTGTAATGGTTTGTAGCAATAATGTTTTGCTTTGCAGTTCATTTTTTTGTGGTTGAGGTTGAGTTTGGAGCACGGGGGGGGGCTGCCTCTGGAGGTTCCAGACCCTAGATGTCACTCGGTGCCATTTTAATTATGCTGTGATTTCCCCTCTGCACTACCACTCGCACTATTAGCGCTCAGCGGGAAATCTGTCACGCAGCAGCCCATGCAACACTATAATCATGGCTTCTACACAAATGAATCTGCCAGTGCAATGAAGCTGATCTGACAGCGCCCACATGTTACCATTTAACCCCGTCTCTAACGACACTCTGCAGACAAAATGTCACAGTCCTGCCCTTAAAATTCCCCCCGTCCTTCAGCTATCTTCTTCCCTGCAATTAATTGAATTTAAGACATTTTATAATCGTCTCTCCCCCTCAAGAAAGTGAAATAAATGTACATTCTGGCTTGTTTAAGATAAAAACCTCACAGTCCCATTCTGCTTCATATTTTTCCTCCAAGAAACATCCATTTCCTTGGACCTTCAAAGACCAAAGCTTACAATTTTTTGGACACTTTTTTTTTCTTTCAAGTCTTCTTGAAAAACTTGCAGGACTAGACTTGAAAAACTACCAACAACCCTGTTTCATAGGCTACTGCGTTGTTCTTTTCCTGCTTCTGCAGCTTAAATTCTGTTTGAATTTTGAAACATAAAGGCCTCCTAATTAACCTTTTTCATCATGTGCATTAGTTATTGGAAATGTACATACTAATTAATTAAAGGGCTGCTGCAGATTTTGAGTATTGTATAGATAGAGAAAAACAATTACCCAACTGAACATTGTATAAGAATTCAGTTATTAGAAATTAATTTTTATAGCTTTTACTCTGCTTGTGTTGAAAGAATTCCTGGTGGGTAAAATACTGCAGCAATTCCTAGCCTAAGTATATATTAGGCCTTTGGATTCAGCTTAACTTAGCTGCTACTATGTTATATCGGTTGGTTGTTCTGTGGCTTTGTGATGACCATCAGTGTGGATAACCATAATGCACCATTCTCCCTGTACCTCCAGGAGCCATAAAGAGGAAGGTGGAGCTGGACTGGGGCACTGAAGACTCAGAGTACCTTCAGAAGGTAGAGCTCCACTCTGAGGGAGCGCTGAACGAGGTGCGACCAGACATCATCGTCTACAATGCAGGGACAGACATCTTGGACGGGGACCCCCTCGGAGGACTCTCCATATCACCACAGGTAACTGCTCTGACAGGTGCCCCATGTACGTAAATGTGTTCCAGAAGTCCAGGGAGCTGGGGGTTGCTTCAGTGTGCTGTGGATTTGTTAGGTACACCTGTACATTCTAATACAGCCAAATACACCTGTTCTACTATAGAGTCTACTTTATGATGCCTATAATGTTTTGGTTTTGTCATAGAGGTGTTAATTCAGTTATGTTTTAGCAGCTGTTGTTCAGGGAGTACATTGTATCGAGAGGTCATGTGCTAATATTCTGTCCCACTCACGTATGAAAATAGGGAGGACACATTTTTTTAAATGCTTCTCAATATAATGTAGTCCAGTACAATATATAATTGAATTCACACAAAACTACACACTATGAACTTAATAGGAAGTTAAATTTGCTGTATTGCAATATAGTGTACAGGGTGGACCTAATGAAGTGGACCACTGATTTGGCAGGGTCCTTCTTTTTTTAATCACTATAGACTCCTATTTGAAATGTTGGAAGTTCTTTTAATGATATCAATATCCGCCAACACAGAAACACAAGTGAATGGCCATAAATATTAAGATACCAAACTCAGCTGCCATAGCCATGGAGAAGAACCCCGTCAGATGCATATCAGAGCTGTAGCAAATCCACAGCAAATCAGTGTCACAATTGGGAACAAAACAACACACCACAGTTGAATTCATCATTTTACCCAGAAAAAAGGAACATCATCTCTCTTCTTCCTGCTGTTAGTGGCACATGCAAGATAACCTTGCTAAGTGATGAATGTTTGTCACCAAAGTGCTTCCTATGTGTTTTTATGTACAAAAGGATTCAACAAGGAAAGTTTCATGTCCATCCAAGCCTAATTCTCTAATTGACCCTTCCTAAGTCCAGCCCTTTTTTTCTCTGTGCCCCAAAATCTGCCACTGTGCACACTTTTGGATAAATGCACTGTTTTGTCATTGTGACATCCTGTTGTGCAGCATAATAGTATGCAGAATTTGATATTGTATGTATGATCCATCTATATATGAAGCATGGTTATGAGCAGATGTTTGATCATTTCACAGGCCTATAAAAGGGCGATTGGGCTGCCAGTGGCCACTGTAATATTGATTGATGGTGGGCATAACTGTTGAGCAATGCTCCAG